CAAATGGCCCGCGGGCCGGACTTTGGACATGCCTGACCTAATGTGTCCTACGACTGACAGCAGCAGAGCAATAGTTAAGAAATTGGTTTTATGTCAGCTATCATGAATTATGCTTTCCACTCATTGGAAGCTGTAAAGAAGAAGAAAAAGTTGCAAAGTTTCTCTTTTTGTTCAGTAACATATCTTCCAATATTTGAAGACCTGTCTCAGAGAAGGGGTCAACCTATTTTCCAAAGCATCTGAAGGCAGGACAAGAAGCAACGGGTGGAAATGTATCAAGGAGTGATCCTACCTAGAACTAAGAGAAATTTCCTGATAGAGAGAACAATTAATCAGTGGAGTGGCTTGCCTCCAGAAGATGTGGGTGCTCCATCACTGGAAGTTTTCAAGAAGAGATTGGACAACCATTCATCCAGTATGGTATAAGGTTTCCTGCTTGAGCAGGGGGTTGGACTAGAAGACCTCTAAGGTCCCTTCCAACTTTATTATTCTGTTAAGGATCTCACCAATGGAACAAGGAATTAAGGGAATCACTTATGTTACAGCATCATTGAACATCCAAAATTTGCAAAGACTTAGGATGTCAATAGATGTCACTAATGCCATGGCAAATTCCCACACAAGGTGAGAAGAACTGATGCAATCTTCTTCAACCATGATGCCTTGCAGAAGTATAGAATTCAATTCCCATAATTCTAAAGGCCATGAAAAGAAATATTGTATACCAAGTTGTTTCCCAAAGCTTTTCTTTTTCTGTTTTTCTTTTGGACTGCAGAAAAGAAAAGATTTAGGATTTGAATTTCCTCCTTCCTATTTATAATTGGCATTTGGCATTTCAATGTTTGTTTTGCATTAGTGCATGTAATATAAAATGTAAACACAAGCCTGTTTTATACTAAATAAAGATTAGCAGAAATATTTATCAAAACCAAGAAGTGAAATAGGAATTTTTCAGTTACAGTAAAATCATACACACAGGGTTAACCCACACATAGCGCAAAGAAATCATGTTTAATCTTACTAAATAAGCTACTGTTCCCTCAAGACAGTAAGCTATCAACAAGGAAGGACTATGTTCTCAGAACATGCTAAGCCAAAATTAAACATACCACATTATAGCTATTGTGTGATATGTCAATCCAGCCCCAGTATGGATTATAGGATCTATCAGGATAACATTTAGGAATCTGCTCTAATATGAAGCAGAATTAGGGTTAAGGTAAGTTTGAGGTCTTGAGCTGGCTCCAGTTTGCACTGTTCTAAATAGGTTTGCTAAAAAATGAGACCCATTCAGTTCAACAACGTTGAGTTCATTAATTAATATTAAGAATGGCAGCCTTAACCTTCCCCTCTCCCGTGCAGTTGAATTAAAAGCTCATTGTATAGCACTGAAATAAATGCATGTCATGTACATAGTGCATTCACATGAGAACAAACACTTTAACCCATTTGCAGAATGAAGTTCAGACATCCTCTTTCCCCAATTGTAATCCTCCTATGTAAGTCACAGATTCTTCTATAGGTAGTATTTGTTTAGTGACCACCATTGGGATCGGCAACTCAGTGATTAAGTGAAGCAGTCACTAAGTGAAATCGCAACCGTTCTTATGGTCTTACTTCAGTTTTTCTTTGCTTTACAGACCTGTGAAGTTTGTAATTGGGAAGACTGGTCATAAAGTTGTTGGTTTTTTCCATCACCATCTTAACGTCAGTCATTTACTTGTATTTGTTTTCTTTACCTACTCAAAAAAGAAAGCTTTTAAGGGCAAACACATAAGGAAAAAGGGCCTTCCGCTATGCTCATGAGTATTCATTACACAGTAGTTCCATTTATCTCTTCTCTATTTGCAGTGTTGGTGTTGCTTGCTATGTTGCAGTAGCTGGATACCTTGCCTGTGTCTTGATGGCCCTTCTTTGTATTCCTTCCCAGACAAAGCCACAGTCCAAGAGAAGTGAAGCACAACAGGGTGAGTGCCTGCCACATCTGAGCTTTAAGGAGGGAGGGGGGAAACCTAAACCATTTCAGCCTGAAACTGTGAACTAAAACCATTTGGGGTCTGTGAGTATCCTTTAAATTAAGCTAGGGTTGCCTTCCTTTTCAACTTCATGGTTTAGGGAATTGCAGCTTAATCCCAAGGAAGGTGGGAGTGTGATTGCTTTGTTTTGCTCCCAGGGAAAAGAAATACTGTCTTTAATCTATTGCAATCCTTAACTGACTGGTAGATATACTGTACGTGTGAACAGTGTCATGCTAAAGTATTTACCCCAGCAGTACTCCCTTGAGTTGGTGTCCTTCACACATTGCCTACTAAAAAAAGGATATGATTTCTTTGTTTCTTCATCCCAGCAGCCCGTGGGTGATTTCTGGATGTGATCTGAATCTGCTTGAGAATGTAATGCAGTCTCATTTGAATATCTGCAGCTGATTCTCATAAATTATCTCAAGACTATTTTATGACTAAATGCAGATTCGAGCCTGGAATGGCCTTTTTTTTCCTCCCTGCCTTTGTTTGTTTGTTTGTTTGTGTGTGTGTGTGTGTGTGTGTGTGTGTTTTAAGCTTGCTTTACCAACCTTCTCAAAGAAAGGTTGTGAAAAACTCAACGACCTTAGTTTTGTGACCTTGAGTCACAGTAAAGACTTGCCCTAATAAAGATTTTAAAATTAGTAACCTCCTGCTTTTTCATCATATGACATAATATATAGAAATAAAAATAGAGCTATTGAATATTGGCTTGATATCTAGCTTGTACTGTGTGTAGGAAAGTAGAGGGAAGTAAGGAAGAATAGAAGATAAAGGCTATCATGAACTTATTTAAAGAGAAAAATAGAATGGATTCATTCTAGGGCAGGGATCCCTAATTCCCAGTCCATGCAAGCGGTGGGCAAGTGCTTGAGTGTACGAAGCTCCATTTGTGCAAACGGTGGACACACGCAAAATCATCCCCCCTCCCCCCCCGTTGCCCCTGCCACCACTGCTGATCTGTTACTCCAAGAAGCCATACTCTGACCAACTGACTACATAAAATGTATAAAAGCAGGTAAGAAGTGAAACAAGACACTTCAACTGATGATGTTACCTAGACAGGTGACAAAATGTTCGGAAGCTAAACAAGCTCAGAGAACAAACCACTGCCAACCTCCTGGATTTGTTTCCATCCATTGTTTCTTACCCTTACTTCAGATGTTTTGGAGAATAGGTTGACCTCTTCTTTGTGGCTGCCCCTCAAATATTGAAACACTGTTAGTCAGTGGTGGGATTCAGATATGTGTACAACCTGTTCTCTTAATGGATGCCACTTCCAGAAGTCCATTCTGGACCTGGTCAACAAAAAATTAGCTATCGGTTCTGCCAAAATGGTGCGAACCGGCCAAATCCCACCACTGCCCCTAGTCCTTCTTTTCATTAAACTAGACATACCCAATTCCTGCCATTTTTCTTCCTATTTTTTAGCCTCCAGTCCCCTAATCATATTTGATGCTTTTCTCTGCACTCTTTCTAAAGTCTCAACATCTACTACTATGTATTATGTACTATATATTACAACATCTACAATTATGTGGCACATAATTGCCCATATAATTAGAAAACATTTTATATTTTTTCTTTCAAAGACATACCTTTATCTGCAGAATATAGCCTATTTTATCTTTTTTCCCCCCTAGGAACATCCCAGCCCAGTAGTGTTTTTAGCCTCCAAGAAATTATTCGCCTGTTGACACTTCCGGGAGTAATGGATGTTTTCTTAATCAAAGTTCTTTCAGTATTTCCTACAGGTGAGTGTGCTATGACTTTTTGAATAACATCTTTCAATCAGATATGATTTGAAGGGTAAGGGAGTAGGTTACTAATATCTTCTGTGAGGCTGTCTCAGAAAAAAATATATTTAGCTGTCAGTGTTATAATGTGACATAGTTACTGGGCCATTTAACACATGATGACCGTCACTTTGCCATCTAGGCAATTGTTTTGAGATTACATCTAAGATTTCCTCTACTGTACCTTTTTCAGCTAGGCTCCATCTGCCAGTTAGGCTCCATCAGAATACTTTGGGTTTCAGGGGATGAAATTGAACTGTAGTTTGAAGAAGTGGTTTGTTCTTGTTAGGAGAAATGAGAACTGTTGTGGCTCTGCATTGTATGTTCCAACATATTGTAGGAAGACATCACCCCCTCCCCATAGAAAGAAATATTTTGGGGAATATTAAAAAGGCAGAATATTATATTTCCCCAAAGGAATACTAGAGAAAATCCTAGGCAGAAACCACAACCCCCCAAATTTCTCTGTCCAAAGCAGAAACCAATTCTGTAGAAATGCAGATTTGATAATCCTTTCAGAAAGACTGGAGCCAGGAAGCTTGGAGCTGATGGGATTAGAAAGACAAAGACCCCTAGAACCAGCAACCCCTCGCCCCAAAATCCAACACAGGACATAGCCATCAGCCACAGCCACAGAGAAGCAGGACATGACCTTTAGGACAGAATAGGATTAATCCACCACCATTAGATTACCAGAGGGCACACTGAACCTCAGGTTAAAGTTCATGCCACAGGAACAGAAACAAATCCAAACATAAAAGCCCAAAAATGTATAAAAACCCACCACTCCCAACACCATGTGGTCAGCTGCCCCAGAGCCACATGCTGTTGTGGTTCTGCTCTTCAATAAACAAGAACCTTCTTTCTAAAGCAATCTTCATTTTGTTTATTCCCGGCTTGGACTGGACCCTGATGAAGATTTTTCTTTCAACAATACAATTGGCTGCCATTGGAATTTTAGCTTGTTTTGAATGTGGCAGTCTTAAGTTCAGTTTTTGTAGAGCAGTGGTTCTCAACTTTTTCTTCACCATGGACCCCCTTTAAACACCTTTTGTGGCCATGGTCCATGGCCATGGTCCACCAAGACTTAAGATTTAAATCATAACATTTCTTCAAGCCTTTGTGTGGACCCCCTGCGTTGACATCCACAGACCACAGGTTGAGAACCACTGCTGTAGAGCATTTAGGAAGATGAGCTTGAGAGAAATAGGCAGGAATTGTTAAATAAACAGTCCTGGGAAGAGAAGGGAGGTAAAGCAAAATCAGACATGCAAAATATTGTTTTATACTTGGTAAAGTATAGTTGATTTTTCCAGTGGAGTCTATTTCTGGAGCTAGTCTACATCAAAGGGTTGACATCAATCTTGCAAGCCTCATTGTGCTTTTCCTTGTTTGTTTCCCTCAAGCTCATTTTCCTGATTCTCTCCAGTTTCAACACTAAAAATAAGATCAGTAAAACAGCTAAAGAATCCAGGCATGGACTGGATTTATACACTGAATTAAACCATGCTGTGTTTTCTACATCGTAACTCCCAATTGCTGAGTTCATACAACATGCTAAATCCAAATTAAACAAGCCATAATATAGCTTGCTGCACTCCCAACCATTGTAGATTATATTGGATTAGACTGTATAACGATCTAGTTCAATATGCAGTAGCTTTCTGTTATGAAAATATGAAAAAAAGAAGAGTCAGGCTATTTTGACTCCACTGAATTTCAAGGCGGAGTTTGATTTACCCACCATCTATTTTGTGAATATAATGGTGCATCAGTATTGGAATTAGGAACTTGAGATCCAGAAACAAATGGCAGGATTGGAAGATTTCCAATAAGAAAATTGCACAGCTGAAAGCCTAATCTAGGTCAAGACTAATAGCTCTTTGTTAAGAAAAAGGCTGAGAAATCATAACAGTGGAGTTTAAACTTACCCCATTAATGTAAAAGATTCTTTGACACAAAAAAATCCTTTTTTCCTGTTTCAGCCTTCATTCCTTTAGTATTTTTTGTAATGGAGTCAGTTCCCCAGAATGTTTAAACTTACCCCATTAATGTAAAAGATTCTTTGACACAAAAAAATCCTTTTTTCCTGTTTCAGCCTTCATTCCTTTAGTATTTTTTGTAATGGAGTCAGTTCCCCAGATGTTTAAGGATTATGCTGTTAAACATTTTTCCTGAATCTATGGGGGTGGGGTTCTGTGCAAAGGTGATCCAGTATGGTGAGATTTTAGGAACAAGATCTAACCTTACAGTCAGAATTTGTATGGTTATCTGTTAATACATATTGCAAGTTGTAGGAAGTATCTTCAGAGAAACATTGTCCTATATTTTCATGTATTTGCTCCATTCATATAATTATTCAATAATGGTAACATGCAAAGTTCTTAAATTAGAGTGATGCTTTTATTTATATTGTAAACAAAGCTACAATATACATAATGACCCAGCCCCGTTATTTACAGTATTCTGTCTAAATTGGGTTATTTTGGCATATATCGTGAATTTCCTGGACAAATGTGATATTTCCCACTGGGCTGGGGATTTTTTAAAAAGGTAATAACCCTAAAGGAAACCATTTTAGAAAGCATGATTCTGTTAAATACAAACTCTGCTGTTGTGCACATTTCCCTCAAAATGAATGTTTTTCTTCATATTCAGAGCAAATGCACACGAGAAGAGGGACCGTCCATACTATATTTAATGAGAATACAACTTAGAAGCATTGGGTTCTTATGTTCCAGAAAAGGACATGGCATTTGGAATGTGAGAGATGCTTAAAAACATGTATCAAATGCAGAGGTTTCAGAAAGACTAAAAGGGAAAGGCGTATTGGAGTCCATGCTTTGTGTAGATTAAATCCTTGATTAAGGTTTTCTTAAGGCTGAGAAAAGTAGAATCTGCCTGGGATACAAAGGCATCTGCACCTCTGTATCCTAGACAAAGTAGGCAGGGATAAAAGTGACAGATATGTGGTCTGTTCCCTCTCTTCAGCATCTACAAATTGGGGAGTAAAACATCCTCTCTTTCTATCATCACTACCTATCCCCTACTGTAGCATTATTATTGTAGCTCTGATGGTATAATAATCAAATAAAGGGGTCAAGGTTGCTTCTTCATTCCATTGTAGGGCCACAGAAACTTTATAGAACGTATGGCTTAAATTCGTAGAAAAAAAGTAGTATTCATTGTAACTGGGTAGCTTCATTCCATCATGCCTACATTGCAACTTGCGCATGTTATTAAGGCAGGGGATGATGCATTCCAAGACATTGAGCACAGAGTGAAATGGCTGTACAGAGTAGCAACTAACCACCGAAAGAGAGGGGTGGGCCAGGCACTGCAGCCAATCGGAGCTGGGGATGATGCTAAATTGAATGAAGCATGGTAGACCAACCACTTGAAAGGGCTGAAAACTGCTCAGGATAGAGAGTGATACTTTTGAAGTAGAGCTTCAGATCTACAACAAGTCCGAGAACAAGTGCATTTGTAATGGGCTTGGGAGTAGATGGAGGACATTGTTGTCTCTTCCTGAACTCAAGAATGGTAGGTAGCCTATAGTAGTTATAGGGCAAGTAGAAAATGTAAACTGGGTCCATGATCAAATGGCACAACAGGTAACAACCCCTGTCAAATTTTGCTGATTAAAAAAAAAAAAAAACCTAAACAGGGTTGGGCCTGGATAATACTTAGATGGTAGACTACAAGAACATTTCACAGGGCTATAGACTAATATGAAATGGTAATCAGTTCCATATTGTGGCTAAGAAAACTATCTGAAAGACAGCAGTAATTTGGAAGATTAAATCTCTAGTCCCTGTCACTGACTCAGATTGGATTCTGCAACAGAACAGAACCGAATTCAAGCAATAACATGGACATTTTATCTGTTTATACTTTTATGCACTAATGAAGAAGGAAGTTTTCTTTAGAACAGGCTAGTTAAGACTCCTCTAGATATTCCCAATAAACTAACCTTCAGTGAGATTGTTCTGATTCTGCCTCATTAAAAACTGCAATAACAATTTCCTGATTATCCTAAAATAAGGATTTTGGTTTTTGTTTTAACCCTAGGAGTGTTCCTAATTATGCTTTCCATCATATCCATTGATTTCTTTGGTCTGGAAGTTGCTCATGCTGGGTATTTGATGTCCTACAGTGGAATCCTTCAAATGGTAATACAATGGGCATTGACAGCCAGTCCTCATATTCTTTTATTAGATAATATAGAAATAAGAAAATGCAGTCCATATATTTATAGAAAAAAGAAAATGCAGCTTCAGTATGTGGTATTATTTTTAGTGTATGTGCATCCATACATCTGTGTTTGTGTTTGTGTGTGTGTGTGTGTGTGTGTGTCAGTATGCATTGATAAATTTAATTTTAGATATATAGATATGTAGCTATATACATCATCAAAGCTATGATTGCACTTTGGGTGGTGGCCTCATCCTGTCAAATGCTCTACTATGTTTTCTCCTGGGATAGAGTCACACATTGCTGGAAGCAAGGATGTTTGTGCTTGAGTCAAACCTTATTTGAGCTATTTGTATTATTCCGAGACTGTGGGGTGGTCCTGGGCTGTCTGGTCCTCATCTCCCACCAACTTGTCGGTATCATTATGTATGCATTGGAGAAGAATATCTGAGGCACCTATTCCCATCCCTGATACAGAGACCTATAGCCAGGCCAGGATTCAGGAGGTGGGGAGGGAGATATTCCTAAAACTTGCCCTAATTGAGTTACTTTTGTGGATATCTGATGTGATTTTCCCTGTATATTTCTGCAATGGTAAGCAAGAGTAATGGCTTTGCATATTGCTAGCATAACCTCTTATTACCAGGAAGCCAAGGAAGTTGGTTTGGACTTTTCTTTTTCCAAAAACCACCTCCCAAGTAACTTCTAAAAGGAAGGAGAACTTTCAGCTTCAAATAGCTCATGGATATTTGCTGTTTAATATGTTGCTGGGAGCAGACAAGCCTGGGAGGATTTTTCAGATACAGTGTTCTAGATCCCAACTCATCAATAATAGGAGAAAAAAAACATATCTTTGTTTTATCATGCAAGTTTTAATTTTAGTTTCTTAAAATGCAGCATTAACAAAAATTAGTTATGAAAGTTGTCAAATTAGCCTTTGGGCTAAGTCTGGCTATGAAGCATACCTCAATCGCAGTAAACTCTTGCTTCTACTAAAATGATTTCTGTTTTAATATCTTTTTGCCTTAGAATCGCACAGCTCCATTTTACGTTTCGAATAGTTTGCTGTCATTTGTCAGCTACAAAGGTTGGGAAGGTTAAAGAGGCAGGGAATTTCCAAGGCCTGTAACTGGATAAGTGCTGATTAATGTGATGCATTAACAGACGCCTCCGCCCCTGTACTGTATGTTTATCACACAGAAGAATAATTTTCAGTGATCTTTATCTCTCTGCCGTTTATGCAGAGCACTGATTGCTTTTGTCTTAGTGCGAAGCAAAATGAATTTTACCTATTTTATTTAGAGATCAGTGGAGAACTTATTTTTCTCCCCCTTCCCATGTGCAAGCCTGGTCCTGCAAATGGCTTTCTTTTGTAAGCCTTAGGGAAGAAAGTTGGCTGATTTTGACCCTGAAACATAGAAAACAAAACTGCCCTATTTGCTTTAAACCTCTCTCTCTCTCTCTCTCTCTCTCTCTCTCTCTCTCTCTCTCTCTCTCTCTCTCTCTCTCTCTCGTGTGTGTGTGTGTGTGTGTGTGTGTGTGTGTGTGTGTGTGTGTGTGCAGAACAAAATAGCGTGGTGATATGGAAACTCAAACAGACACACGCCCATTGTGTATGAGAAGGAAGGAGGCATCTGCTGTAGTGGGAAGGGAACACCATTTGTTTGTCTGCTCTCATAGCACACATTCCACACTAAGAACAAACCGGGAGGGGATGTTATGCTCCTTTGGGAAAAAAAAGTTCCCCCATTCAAGAGGTTTTGCCTCTGCTCTTTAACATGCCAAAGTCTTTTCCTTCTTCCTAGAGAGGAAAAAAAAGAAATATATCATTTTCTACAGCTTTGAACCATTTGTTCTTACATCTTTTCTCCTTCAATAGCATTTATCTTCACTGTGCTTTTAATCTAGCGGTTGTGAGAACCCTCCCACAGACCACAACATCCTTCCGAGGCCAACAGGGACCCTCTCCTCATTTGTTTGGAAATTGCTCAAAAATAAGTCCCTCTGAACAATGCTTAAGGTCACTTCTTAGCCAGTGAAGTTTTACGCACACAATCAATGAAAATGTCTTCAAAATGATGAAAAATCTATCTGTAGTTAATTGGGCAAGACATGTTTGTTTTTAATAATAATTATCAAAATGATTTTTATTGTTTTTAGTTATGTCTTGCCCCAAACTTAGAAACTCACAAAAAGATGTGATACACCAAATTCATATTGGCTTGTCTTTCTCCCCTAACCCCCAACAGTTTTATAAACAAACTACACTCCCTTATCTCAATGTGTACTTGTTTAATAATTTCACAATTTATGGCAGCTTTTTCCATCCTATTTCTACCTAAAAACCCCTACAAGTGAGAGTTTGCACAAAGCTCATAATGTTAGCAAGTGAATAGTGACTTTCATTTAGAAGGGCTTTATCAGGAGATGATGTAAAACTAAACTATAGGCATTTAATCCTAGGGAATATCCCAGCGCATTCCCTAGAAGACAGCTGCAATGCCTTTTCCTCTTTCCCTGCACCTTCCCAATTTAGTCCCATGTCCTTTCAATGACTTTGTACTTCTTTAAGTACGACACATGACGAATCCCCCAAGACTGAGTGCAGAATTCATCTTTGAAAAAAATCTTCCATCTGTCCTTTAGCCAATCGTTGTCTACTTGCATTTATAGCAGATTGCCCTGGCCGAGATTGAAGGATCTTCTCCAGTTAGTTATCCAGTTTTGTGTGGTAATACCAAAACATATGTTCTGCTACTTCAAAAGATGCACCATCCCACCCTTGTTGTAATATCCATACATTGTATAATCCTTTTTCAACTAGCCAGATTGGTCTTTTGATTAAAAACACTTCTGGCATCTTTGGATGGTTGGATGACTCAGCTTCCCAGATACTTAGACTGAGGAGCTTAGACTGAGGAGATTGTTGAAAGACATTTTTTCCTTAATTTTAATTCCTGCTTTAAAAGAATCTTCTCAATCTATGGAGATTCTCAATCATTCAGGTCATGGTTGTCACAAAGGTGTCTTTTCAAAAGGTAGCTGGACTTTCTTTGTTTTTTCTTTGAAGACAAAACAAAGAAATCAAAGAAAGTCCAATTGCCTTTTGAAAAAGCTCCTTTGTGACAAACTCAGTCACCTCTAAAAGTTGGGGTTGGGTTTATGAGTAAAGTAAACCTAGTGAACAGGTGAGACGAAAGAAAATATAATCAGGTAATCAGAATTTCTCCAAAATAACATAAGGGGGTTGTGGGAGTGACCTTTTTTCGAAAGGATTAATAAAAACAGTTCTAACTTGAAGTAAATCAATTGTGACATTCTCAGTGTGTAAAATGACCAAAGTTGGAATTGTTCACAACACACGGTTAAATGATAGGAATGTAGGCAGCCTGATTTTATTTGTTTGCTTGCTTGTTTGTTTATCAAATTTATATAATTGCCCATCTCATTAAAAATGATTCTGGGTAGTATACAACTATTAAATAAAACAATGAATATGTAAAAATAATCCTTATTTAAAATATAAAACCAGAACACAGGAGAGAGTGAGTATTAATTGCAATGATGAACTACCTTAAAATATCACCAGTGCCCTGGGAGCTCCAGGTTGGATGACATATATAATTATTAGTGGTTGTGCTTGAATAATCCAGGAAAAAAGATTAATTATAAAATTAGGAGTTTCTTTTTTCTACAGAGGAGATCCCAGGAAATATAATAACCATATCTAAAATGTATTCAGAAGGCACATCCAAATCAATGAATCTGATCAATGAATTAATAAAAGTTTATATTTATAGTAGGAACAAACTTGACATAATATTAAAAAGTGGTCTTGCAGTTGGAGTGTGTGTGTGTCTGTGTTTTTGTGTGTGTGTACACCAATATACTATATATTAACATACAAAGAGTAATATATAGTAATGGAACTTACTGTATGACATTTCCACTTTGCTACCTTTTCTACTATAGCCAAATCTTTCAAGTTCACATAAAAAGGAAAGAAAAGAAATGTAAAAAAAAAAAAGAACTCTTAACTAATCTGATCCTTTGTATGTCTGCTTATCCTCTTGTCAATGTCATCCTTACTAAATCCAGCCAGTGTTGATTTAGGACCTACTAGGTGCAGCTTAGAAGGTAAGAGAAAGGATGAGGTAGACTTTCCTTCTAACAGTAGTGGAGAAATGACAGCTCACAAGCTCTGTACAGCTGCACCACTGCAAAAAGAAAAATGTTTTCTGGGTTATAGAGCAGTCGAGCTAGAAATAAATTAAAACAATCTCTGCTCAGTACAGGAATCCAGATCAAACTATCCCTGGCAGATGTTTATCTTGCCTCTGCTGGAAAAGAGACTCGCCACCTCTTTTACTATTAAGAAAGGTGTTGTTTTTTTTTAATTGAATCAGAATTTCCCTCTTGATATCTTCAATCCATTATTTAGTGTCCTACATGCAGTATCAAGACAGAACAAGCATTGACCTCCTTCTATGTGACATCTTTTCGGGTATCTAAAAATGCTCTCATATCCCTTTTCTGTTGTCTTTTCTCAAGACCAAACATGCCCAGCTTCTTGAAACTCTCTTTCTAGGACTTAAGTCTAGCCTCGTTTCCCTCCCCCCCCCCCAAACATCCTTGTTGCCTTTTTCAGAAGTTTGTGTAGTTTGAATACTTCTTTAAATACATTGTTTAACACAGTATCTAAGGTGGGGTTGAATGACACAAAGTTCTGTAGCAGGATCCATGTTCTCTGTTGCCTCAGAGGACTTAACAGTTTCAAGTTACAGATCACTGGAATAACATTAGAAGAAGCATCTTGACAATAAAACTGTAAGCAGTGAAAATAGCACTGCTTCATCAGATGCAATATAAAATGTCCAATCTAAGTAATAGTATTGACTCATAAAAATATACTGTTAGTAATCAGTCAATTTGGATGTCAAATAACCATTAATCATACTGTGCTGCACCTTAGAGTTGC